ACACTAAATGGCCCCTAGAGAACCCCCATTGGGACCACCAAAATGCGGCACATAGAACACATATGCAGGATTTAAGGACCATAATTATTCAGGGGATTAGGGACTCAGTCCCAAGGGGGCAAAATATAGATCGGGCATTCAACGATAGGCAAAAGAAGGACGAGTCGCCTACGGAATGGCTCGAGAGATTACGGCAGAACTTACGATTGTACTCCGGAATGGACCCCGATAGCCAAACTTCACAGTCAATGCTGAAAGTCCATTTCGTTTTAAAATTGTGGGATGACATAAAGAAGAAAATCCAGAAGTTAGAGGACTGGCAGGACAGGGGGCTGGATGAACTGCTTAGGGAGGCACAGAAAGTATATGTCCGTAGGGACGACGAAAGAGACCGCAGACAAGTAAGGTTGATGGTCGCAGCAACAGGTGGGGGGAGGTACCAAAGAGAAGGGCGAAAGGGAGGTTCGAGTGAACAAAAAGAGAAAAGTATAGGGGAGTCAGAAGGGGTGAAGGTGTGTTTTTATTGCGGAAAAAAAGGGCATTTTAAGCAAGAATGTAGAGTCCGAATCAGAGACGAGAAGCAGTTCCAAATGGACTAGGGGGGTCAGGGGCTCTATTTGGTGGGGACCCGGAAAAATCATAAAGAGCCCTTGATAAAACTTAAAGTAGGTCCCTGTAGAGAGCTTTTTGGATAATTGGTTAGCTGAGAAAGGACATTTCGATGTGATACCAATGGATAAGGATAGGGGAAACAAGCTGGGAACGGAGCAACCAGTGCCCAATTACTGACAAAGGTCACAGTGACCTTCTCTGAAACAGGAAGACGGGGGAGAAAATCGCTTGCCAGAAAATGTAGTTATCTTAGGTAGAAAAGTTAGAAGAATGCAAACATAGAAGCAAAATAATTGTTAGAAGATAGAAGTAGGTGTGGTTGATCTAAGTGTGTTTTAACCAATAATGAGCTCAGCTTTTGCAATATGTATAAGCTTCATTAACACCAATATAAATATGTGTGAGTTTTCAATAAACTTTGGGATTTGCCATTCACGCATATGGTGTGTCGCATTTCTCCCGCCGTTCACGACAGGTCCCCACAAACAAGAAATGGAATTCTTGGTAGATACGGGGGCAGAAAGATCCACGGTACAGAACCTACCAAAAGGATGTACCATCTCTAAAGAAACTGCCACTGTCATAGGGGTGAAAGGGGAACCTTTTGAAGTACAAATCATAAAAAATGTGACTATAGAATCAGGATCCAAAATAGGGATGGGAAATCTATTATTGGTACCCGAGTCAGATTATAATCTGCTCGGGCGAGACATGATTATAGAATTAGGGATTAGTATAGGTGTAGATAATAAGGAATTAAAAATTAAATTATGCCCTTTAAGGGTAGAAGATGAAAAGCAAATTAACCCCGAAGTCTGGTACACACCTGAGAGCATGGGATAGCTAAAAATCACTCCATTTTCGGTAACTATCAAAAATCCGGATGTCCCCGTCCAAATTAAGCAATACCCATTATCCCCAGAAGGGAGACGAGGATTAAAACCAGAAATAGAAAGGTTGTTGAATAATGGATTGTTAGAACCCTGTATGTCTCCCTTCAATACTCCCATCCTACCAGTTAAAAAGCCAAACGGCACCTATCGATTGGTGCATGACTTAAGGGAAATAAACAAGCGAACTGTAGCCCGGTTCCCGGTGGTGGCAAATCCTTATACCCTCTTGACTAAACTGGGGCCTGAGAATTTATGGTACAGTGTTATAGATCTCAAAGATGCCTTTTGGGCATGCCCTTTGGCTAAAGAAAGCCGGGATTATTTTGCATTTGAATGGGAAGACCCCGATACAGGAAGGAGACAACAATTAAGATGGACGGTACTCCCTCAAGGATCCACTGAGTCCCCTAATCTCTTCGGGCAGGCTTTAGAGCAAATTTTACAGGATTACCAAGTGGGGCCAGGGGTTACATTAATCCAATACGTAGATGATCTACTCCTGACGGGGCAGCAGGAAGAGAATGTACGGAAAGAAAGTATTAAGTTATTGAACTTTTTAGGATTAAAGGGATTGAAAGTCTCCAAGGCAAAACTACAATTTGTCGAAGAAGAAGTAAAATACCTAGGCCATTATCTAAAGAAAGGAGAGAAGAGAATAGACCCCAAACGAATACAGGCGATTTTAGCATTACCAATTCCAAGAAATAAGAGACAAATCAGGCAAATACTTGGACTAACTGGTTATTGTCGACAATGGATTGAAAACTACAGTAGTAAGGCGACTTTCTTGTATCAGAAACTTACTCAAGAGGGACTCCTAAAATGGGATCAGGAGGACACCGAAAGGCTGCAAGAGCTTAAAGAGAGCCTAATCCATGCCCCGGTATTAAGTTTACCTAATACTAATAGACCCTTCTTTTTGTTCATAAACGTAGACAAGGGGGTCGCATATGGGGTCCTTACTCAAGAATGGGCAGAGAAAAGGAAACCGGTGGCTTATCTACCAAAGATCTTGGATCCAGTAAGCAGAGGATGGCCTACGTGCTTACAAGCAATTGTAGGATGTGCTCTTTTGGTAGAAGAAGCCCGGAAAATTACATTTAATAGCAGCCTGAAAGTGCTGTCCCCCCATAACATACGGGGAGTCTTACAGCAAAAGGCTGAAAAATGGATCTCAGACGCAAGGCTTCTAAAATATGAAGGAATATTAATTGAGGCTCCAAATTTAACTCTAGAAACTACTAATATCCAAAATCCAGCTTCCTTCTTATATGGAGGACCAGAAGAAGCACTAACACATGATTGTATAGTGACTATAGAAGAACAAACAAAAATCAGACCAGATTTGGAAGAAGAGGAATTGGAAAAAGGAGAAAGACTGTTTGTGGATGGATCCTCCAGAGTAGTTGAGGGAAGGAGAAAATCAGGATATGCTATCATAAGGGGACCCAACCTGGAAGTGATAGAATCGGGACCCCTTAGTGGATCCTGGTCCGCCCAAGCATGTGAACTATATGCTGTACTACGAGCCCTGGAATGGTTAACAGGAAAAGATGGGACTATTTTTACGGACTCGAAATATAGCTATGGGGTAGTCCATACATTTGGCAAGATATGGGAGGAAAGAGGACTAATAAATTCACAAGGGAAAGATTTAGTTCACCGTAAATTAATATTAGATGTTCTCAGTGCCCTATGAAAACCCCAAAAAATAGCTATAGTTCACCTGAAAGGTCACCAAAAAGGACTGGATTTGAGAAGTAGGGGAAATAATGCAGCTGACCAGGAGGCTAAACGGGCTGCCCTGAGACTCCTCACTTTGCAGGAAAACATAGAACACTCCCAAACGCCAGAACCTGACCCCGACATCAAGTTTAATAAAGAGGAAGAGAATAAAATACAAAAACTAGGAGCAAAAAGGGATGCACAAGGAGCATGGAAATTAGCAGATGGCAGAGAAATAATACCTAGAGCATTGGCACATAGATTACTGACTAAGATACATCAAAAAACACATTGGGGATCACAGGGACTGGTAGATTATTTTGCTGCAAAGTATGTGAGTGTGGGAATCTGGGACATTGCCAAACAAGTAACCAGAGGATGCCTAATTTGCTTACAAGTAAATAGAAAAAATTTGAGAAAATTACCGGAGGGAGGCCGACCGCTAGTGAAAAGGCCTTTCTCCCACATTCAGATAGATTTCACCGAGCTCCCCAAAGTAGGGAGAACCAAATATTTATTGGTCTTGGTGGACCACCTAACACATTTTGTGGAAGCCTTCCCAACCGTAAGAGAAACAGCCAAAGTAGTCACGAAAATATTGATGGAAGAGATAATCCCGAGATACGGGGTCCCAGAAGTCATTGACTCAGATAGAGGGCCGCATTTTATTTCGCAAGTTACCCAAAACTTAGCAACAGCTCTGGGCATACGGTGGGAACAACATGCCCCCTGGCATCCCCAGAGCTCTGGACGAGTTGAACGAATGAATGGGGAAATAAAAAAGCAATTGACCAAACTGGTAGCAGAAACCAATTTGACCTGGGTTAAATGTATTCCTCTAGCGTTGCTAAATATAAGAACAAGACCTAGAGCTGATTTAGGGGTATCACCCTTTGAAATGATGTATGGGATGCCGTATAACCTAGAAAATCCTAACGAACATCCTGTCATTAATGACACATGTACGCAAAAATATTTGGTGGAATTGACAAAGTACAGAAAGGCATTATGGGAAAAAGGTATGTTAGCACAACGGCCTCCTTTAGATTTTATCTTACACCAGGTACAGCCAGGAGATGGGGTGCTCGTGAAAAGCTGGAAAGAAAACCCCTTGACTCCAAGGTGGGAAGGACCGTTCCAAGTACTCCTCACCACAGAAGCGGCCATACGAACCGCTGAAAAAGGATGGACTCATGCTAGTCGCATAAAAGGACCGGTAAAACCCCCTCACAGCTGGGAGGTTTGCAGTCTCCCGGGAGAAACCAAATTAAAGCTGAAACGAACTAATAAATGATTTGGATAATAATCTGGGTTGGAGATAACCATTATCTCCAAACCCACCTAATAGGGAATCGGGAGGCTCTTGGATATTGCAAACTCTTAGAGGACGAGTTGAGAAAGCCCTACTTTAAGTCCCCGAGATTAGAACATAAAGGGCACACATGGGAGGGGGAAAAAGCACAGAACAAAGATATTAGGTTAAAGTGTAACTGGTTAGATTGTGACTGTCACCCCCTTGTATGCTTTTCCTGTAAATTGTGTCACGAACCTTGGTGGTCTCATTGTCGGAGTGGTAGAACACCTAGGGGAATTTGCACGCCGTGCTATGAGAAAGAGAGGAGACTAACTTCTATCATTCTTAGTAGCAGAGTTGCTACGGGGGAGGTAAAGCTTGGATCTGACGAGTGGTGGGAAACCTTTTCCAAAGGGGTAAATCCTGATCGGTTCTGCTACCACCCTAACGAACTGATCCTCTTTCTCCTGGACATCCTGGAAGTGGTGTGTCGGAAGAAAGCCCCCAATTTGCGGCGTGACCTCTCATTAATAAAAGCTAATAACTGGGCCGCCAGTGCTAAAAAGTGGAAACGGGAGGTTTATCCGGCTCCTGAAGAATACCTCTGCTGCCGAGAAGATGGTAAACCCCGAGGCTCGCAGCAACCGAGTCGTCGGGCAAGGCAGAGAAGTAATAACCAGTGGAGTCCGTCGGAAGCCTCGACCCCCATATGGGATGTCCAGGAAATGTTGGCCGTCCTGCCCCAGGATTGGTAACCCACCACTGGGGAAACCAAAGGTAAAATTCAACCTGAGCTCCGACAATGACAGCCCCAAATTACAAGCCTTAATTCTTTTCTGGTGCATCGTAACAAGTTCAGGGGCAGAAGGGTATTCACATCAACCCTTCAAATGGTCACTGATTAGATGGGAAGACCAGTATGTTATCCAGACCAAAATCACATCTGGCGCACCCAGCTTTTTATGTACTTTGTGTGATTTAATACCTGTAAATCCATGTTTAAATCAGTTTGGATATTATTTTTGTCCAAGCTCAAACCCGGGAAAAGGGTATTGTAACTATCCAGGACACTTTTACTGTGCTTATTGGGACTGTGTATCAGTAAGCTCCTTTGGGGGGAACGAGGACGGGTTTATCAGAACTGGATGGGGTCCATACGGGTGTACACAGCCCACTTCCACATATACCCAGAAAGAAGGAGGGTTAGATGGAACATGCAATATGATTTACATTAATGTGACAAAACCACATGACCAAGTCTGGTTATTAGGGAAAATGTGGGGAGCCCGATTATGGGAACCAGGGACAGACAGAGGGGGGCACTTTATAATCCAAAAGACAACCGTGCCACACGACCCCGAACCAATTGGACCAAACCAGGCGATAGCTGGAGAACTAACGCTAGGAGAAAATAATGGAAATGAATCAGAAACAGCCCCAACCACTAGTCTTCCAGAAATGTATAAGCAAAACTTTACTAATTCGACCCGAGGACCTGAAAACCCGGGAGAAGGGGACTTGTGGAAAATATTACAGGCCACTTTCCTAGTCCTGAATGAGACCCATCCAAATCTAACTGAGGAATGTTGGCTGTGTTACACCGTAAACCCCCCGTTCTATGAAGCCATAGGGGTAACAGCAAAAAGCAGACGAGTAAATGGGACCAACCCAGCTAGGTGCCTATGGAAAAAAGAAGGAGAAGAATCGAGAGAGATAACCTTGGCAAGGGTAACGGGGAGAGGAAGATGTATAAGACGAGTACCAGTAGAAAAACGACATCTATGTCAGGTTATGGGGAATTTGAGTGACCCTAAGAAACCTGCCAGCTGGATACTGCCAGCAGCAAATACTAAATGGGTCTGTAACACTCTCGGAGTCACCCCATGTATAAATATAGACCGATTTAATGAATCCAGTGACTTTTGTATTCAAGTATTGATAGTACCCAGAGTCCTTTACCACCCCGTAGAGTACGTTTATGAACAATATCAAAATATAGGACCCCACATAGTGAAACGGGAAATATTCACAACCTTCACTGTAGCAATGTTACTAGGAATAGGTGCAGCCGGGACAGGAACAAGAATAGCCTCACTCATACAGCAACACCGAGGATTCCAAGAACTAAGAGCCTCTGTAGATGAAGACCTCAGGAGGATCGAAACCTCCATCAAAGACCTCACAGAATCATTAGATTCCCTAGCAGAGGTAGCCTTAAAAAATCGAAGGGGGTTAAATCTATTATTCCTGCAACAAGGAGGACTATGTGCTGCTTTAAGAGAAGAATGCTGCACATATGTAAACAAGAGCGGAATTATACGGGACTCAATGGCAAAACTACGGGAGGGGCTAGAAAGAAGACAAAGAGAAAGGGAAAAACACCAAAGCTGGTATGAATCTTGGTTTAACTATTCTCCTTGGCTTACAACTTTATTATCAACGATAGCGGGTCCACTACTTCTCTTACTATTGGGACTCACGTTTGGCCCTTGTATTTTTAATAAATTGATTAGCATTGTAAAAGGCAGATGAGAAGCTGCTCACCTTATGCTCATATGAGCAAAATACGAAACCTTGAAGATGGATGATCCAGAAGAATCTCTGGAGCTCAGCAAAAGGGAATTAGAGCGTTTTGACTAACAAAATTGAGTATCAAAACAAAGGGGGGATTGAGATGAGGGACTACATTTTGTTCGTCACGAAAAAGAGACCAGTGTGTTACAAGAGTTGTCTGCTGACTATTTCTGTACTACTTCATGAGATATGAGCCACAAGGATACCAGGGAAGGGGTTGCAGGAGCCCACACATAGTCCCACCCAGCAAATGGTACAAACAGATAACTCACAGAAATAACGACCAGGGAAAGGCTGGGGAAGGGGCAGGGGCAGATAAACAGTCTGCAAGGCAGGACATTTGCTTGCTTAAGCTTGATAGGGCACATATTGCATTAATCATAAGATTTTGGTAATTTTCCACAGAGAAGTCACCAAATAAGGACATAGGGTGAAGAAGACGCAGCTGAGGAAGACTCCGCAGCCTTTATCACCGATCACCAGGAGACAGAAGGATGACCCCCTAGCAACAACCAGCGCAGGCGCAGAGTACTCCGAGATAACATGGACTCCTGAAGGATAGAGAGGATGAAAGGACTGAATCAGAAACTAGTTGGCGCGGCAGTAGGTGGAGCGGAGACTCCCCTGTCGCCCAGCGCTGAGCCTTTGCTTATGTAGTATAACTGCTTCAATAATTAATAAATTCTTTGATTGGAAATTACTCATTTTGAGTCAATTTTATAACATTAATTACTGTTAATAAAATTTTCTTTATACCCTTTTAAAGTTTTAAGCCTTCTTTACCTTTCTCCTAATCCTATCTCACAGCAGGAAGTGAGTGTATGAGTGATTAACCAGCAGTAAAAACCCACCACACTCATCTGTACATTAGTTAGGAAATCTCAAAATTGAAGAAACCTTAAATCAGAGAACCAAAACCACTACAACTGGAGCACAAGCACAGTCTCTGGAAGGCCAGCAGCTCCTCTTCCCAGTTCTTTGAGACTGTGTAGAAAACTGAAGAACAGCAATCTCAGAAGAAATTGCAAGTATCTGAAGATGGTCATGATCTTACAAAATATGGGTCTGATTTTAAGCCTCCACTTGTAGCCTTCAACTAGTTTACAAGGATAAGGCTTTTTGAAAGCCAGTACTGAATCTGATCCTATAAGAAATGTTGCCCTTGACTTTGAGAATTGACCAGATGGAAAAACTAAATTCTTTTAAAGAAAATAAGATCTGGCTGCCATTATTTCCTTCCATAAAGCACTGGTGTCGCTTAACCAACAATATTGTTCAACATTGTCATTACACTTTAAATTATATTAATAATTTGCAACACAACAATTGTCAAATTTTGCTTTTATTCTACTATATTTCTCACATAGTGAGAGACATATCTCACTCTACAACTTGAATTACTGAGTAATACAGAGTTATACAAAAAAATTTTAATAATAACTTCAAGTTCTATTATTCTACCTGGTTACATCGAACCAAAACCGCCACAATTATATTTAGCATTCCTCAAGTTATACAATGCACATACACAAGTGTCTTCATTCTGCATCTTATTAAATTCCTACTGATTAAAAAGCAGAAAATAATTAGCTTACACTGATTTATTCCCCAAATATAAAGTTTTATTTATAATATAAATGTAAATTATTTATTTTATGAATGTAAACTCTTACCTACTTTCAGGAAGAAAGTATTTATTTTATAAACAAAACTATTACTTTAAGTGTTACTACTTTAGATGTCAAAATTAAATATTTTTACAGAACAATTTTACTGAACTAAAACTGATTTGAATTGAAATTAAAGTGTCAAAGGAGTGCAGATCTGGCAAGATAATCAAGCACATTAATTATTTTACACAAATTATGTGTGTTTGTCTATTATTAATCCTCTGATTTGCTAAAGGTTTTTTCACTGCCATTAAATGAAAGGCATTATGAACCCAAGAGTTTCTTTATTTCCTCCTCTTCCCAAACTACGCTAGATGTTCTAAAAAACATATACCACATCTGCACTGTATAAAGGAGCCCTGGCCCTACTAAGTATCCAGGACTGGTGATGCCAAGCAGTATAAGAATGACAGTTGTCTACAACATACAAACTAAGCACAATAAAGGGGAATCAATCAAAAGATGCCTTAAATTTCAAAATCTTATTAAGAAAATGCATGCACTCATAAAACAGTCTCTAAAGTAAAACAAGCAGACTTCACAGCACAGATCAAATCACCTTTTAATGGTGACTGTAAAAGAAGAGTTCAGACCCTAGGTTCTGAGGCAGTTTATTTCAGCTCAAGTTGGGTGCCTCCAGAGGGACCCCAAACAAAAAATCCCTGGACCTTCACACCCTTAAAGTCTGTGCACCTGATCTTCACATGCTCTGCACGCGCCTCTTTGTCCTATGGTGATTTGTGGTCTGGGGTCTTCTCATTGGATTCTTCCTCCATGTCCATGTGGGCAGGACATTAATTGCTCTAATCTTCCAATTTGGGGAAGCCTTGGGGCCCTTCAGCATCTCAACCCTTTCTTTTTCCTCCCCTGGTCAGCCATTCATGCTGACAGTTCATTTAGAGTTCACCTACGGTAACTTTTAAGCAGGGCCCACTCATGCTAAGCTGTAAGTTACAATTAAACCTACACAACTGATTTCTTATATTCTATAAGTAAACTTATTTTAATCTCCAACAGTGACTAAATATGGAATAAAAGAAAAGAAGGATTAGGTAATTCAAATCCATGAACAAAACAAACCAAAAGAATTACAGCTTCTTTTTTTATTAAGTATTGTATTGGTTTCTAATTAAGTATTCCATACATTTCCCTGGCATCATTCTTCTTCATAGACTGGCAATGGCATAAGACTGCCTGCTAGTGATTCAGATACCATAATGTCTGAAACATTTGTTCCAGTATAGCAATTCACACAATATCGCATTTTTTCCGCAAGGTTCAGAAGTAAATTGAGTACTTCAAAGAAAAAGCTGAAAGATGATAAAACCATGACCATTTTGCCAAAACCAATCCCTTCATTGCACTATAAAAATGTTGTGATACTAAAATTTTTCAGGCAATAGCTATTCTTAATATTATAGGAGTGTGTCAGAAGCACAGAAGAAAGAACTGGATTATTTTTATTTATTTGACTACTTTTATTTACTTACCACACAATTTCAGGAATTAACAAAGTTCCTAATCTGATATGACCAAGGTCAAAAGTAATAGCTGAAGAAAGATTCTGGCTTAGGAAAAAAAAAAAGAACTGAGGTTCAGACTCCAGTTCTTCAGCTGGTTGTAAGACTGATGGGGTGAGGGTGCAAACCCCACAACTTGCACTATTTAGTTCTGTACTTGAACCTAATTAACATTAGTTTAAAAAATAAAGGAGGAAAAAGGTGGAACACAGTTTTCAGCCTATTGATTCATGCATTTTTTACAGCAGTACCATTAGAAATGTAACACATTTTATGTAAGTTTTAAAAGTATATTTTACAGTTTTTATATGGAGTATCTTCCTACCTATTATTAATTTAATGCAGAATGATATCTACAAGTTCAAGACAGCAGAGGGATTGACACTTGCAGCTAACTGAGCTACTGCTCACTACTCACACACTACCTCCCAATGCCTTTCCTGTCAAAACTTCCTTTAAAAACCAGGTTCTTACAAAGTCTTGACTGGCCACTGAAAATATATCTTCTTCCTCTTTTTCCTTCCCCTCTCTGCAAAGGATCACTACGTAAAAGGGAAAAAAGTAAAATGATTGAGAAAGGCAACACTGGAATTACGTGCCCTGCAGCCACTTCTTGGCACATAATCAAAATAAGAGCAAGTACTCCTTCAAACATCTCTGGAGTCCCACCTTCCCTTCCCAGTACCAAGCACCCGTCTTTCCCCTAGACATAAATTTCTTCAAATAAGCTCCAGCTCTATGGAAGTGCTGGAGTCTGTAGTAAAGCCATCACTTCTCATCTTCTCAAAACTCTCTTCTTTCTGGAGAACTAATGAGGAGCATTAATTATGTGAAGACTACTATGCTGATGTGTCAGCACTTGCACTAACTGTATCTTTTGGAATAACACACTAACTTATTAACACAGCTAAAAGCCAAGAGATGAAAATTAATGTGGTAATCACATATTCTCTGAACAGAGAGAGACTTAATTCTCTCCCAGGATTTTCCTGAGAAGCTGTGAGGAAGCTCAGAAAAAACAGTTCTTATCTTAATCTCTGCACCTGTTGTTGTGCACATGTGGAATGTGTTATGGAGATTGTTTACCAAAGAGGGATTTCTTAATTGGACTCTGGTGATGGTGTTTTGATTAATTGACCAATTGGATCCACGTGTGTATTGGGCTGTCTGGCAAGGGCGAAGGGTTTTTTGTATAGTATAGTATAGTATAGTATAGTATAGTATAGTATAGTATAGTATAGTATAGTATAGTATAGTATAGTATAGTATAGTATAGTATAGCTTATTAAAGCAATTGATCAGCCTTCTGCAATCATGGAGTCAATGCTTATTATTCCCTGTTTGGGGGCCTGTTGCCACAATAAAGTAAGGCCTGAATATGAAATTATTCCTAAGCATGCAGTAAATAAATTGCAGTTCTCAATGTGTAATATACAATTGCTTGAGATAACATTTCTATAGCTGACAACAGTATAGAATGCTAGGCTTCAAGTACAAAGGAGCATCTGGAAAATAAACAATATTAATAGCTCATATAGATTAAGAAAAAGCTTTAATCCTGGGAAACTGTTAGACAAAAGCATCTTGTCTCTGAATAAGTAGCTCAAATTTACGTCCAAACCAAATAAGTCACTCCATTCAACAGTTTCAGATTTAACTTCTGAGTGCAGACTATTAATCATCATATTAAAAGAGAAACAGAGTAGTTGTTCTACCCATAATATTGAGTAACTAGAGGCCTGGCTGAAGCATTTCACTGTTTCTAAAGTCCAAGTGTATACTAGGTTATAATACTTCCATTATTTATGTATTTATTAGTGGAAATTATGAGAAGTTTAGAGACAGTCAAGAAAACTAATAAAAAATTATGCCTTATTTTCTCCTGTTATAGTAAAGCAAGCAGTTTCCCTTTAAGAGCAAAAGCCAACCTAGCTCTTGGGCAAAATGTGTATTAGGAAAACATGAGGTTGGTTCATTTTGTATTCTTGTGGTTTCTACTGACTTCTCTTGGAAATACACCTGATGCAGCTTTCTGGTGGCAATAAACCTATTAATATAGCATCTTGCAAACTGCCTGCCATCCTTGTTCTGTCAAAGACCATGAGCATACTGCAGTGTAAAGTACTCAAGACATGCACTGATTCAATGAATGAAGATGCACTCCTGTTGGAGGTTAGGATTTTTCCCTTTTTTTATTTATATCATGGAATTTTTCTCCCATTTTTTGCCCAAGAGATGAAAAAAAGCAAATACTTAAGAGTGACAAAAGATGTAGCCAGGGAATGGAGAAGGGGTGCAGTTTGTTGCTGTCTCTTAGCTGGGGGGTTTTCTCTCAGGAAAGGCAGAGATACCACAAGATTTCGCCTGATGGGTGAGGAACTGGGCTCAGCTCCTTGCTCTCTCTTAGGTTTGGAGTGGAGACAGGTGCAGTTTTGGTGACGGACTGTTGCTGCCCGGAGGATTTGCTGCCACTGCAGACTTTTTGTCCACCCATTGCATCTCCTTATCGTGGGTGAGCCTTTGCTCGTAAGAGCAGCTGTTGAACTGGGACCTTTTCAACACACAACCTCACTGAGAAGGGGACCTTGGCCCCCAACCTCCTCTGGAGGAAGCATCTTCCAACTGCTTGCAGAAGCCCATCTGCCACTGCCCAGCCCCGCTGTTTTCTGCTGCTGCTTTGGGCTTTTTTGCTACACTTTAACCTGACACCCCATGTCCACCTGGCCTCCCCATGGCTCCTGCTATGGCTTTGGAATTTCTTCTACACTTTGCTTGCTACCCCAGGTGTGCTCGCCTCTGCTGTTCCAGCCTGCTGCTCCAAGGTCCCTGCTACAGCCCATTTCACCATCCAGACAGGCACTGAGACCAGCTGCCCCTGTGGGTTTGCAAACGAAGCCCCTTTCCTATCTCTTCTGCTGGCTGAGCTGCCATTAAGTGTGTGGAGAAGGCAGCTGAGCTCACCCCACAGCGCCCCCTGCAGCCACGGGGTAATCATTGCACCTGCCCCGCCTGGCCAGGAGCCAACAGCACCCCTGCTGGCTGTGACAATAACTACACCAAAGGGGAAAGTGCTTGACAGCCCAGAGAGGCTGTTATTGGATCTGTTTTTTCCTGTTTCTTGTTGGTGCTGTTGTTGGTGGTGGTTTTTAGCCTTGTTTTTTTTTAATATATATATCTCCTAGTAAATTCCTTTCCCTATATCTTTGCCTGAAAGCCCCATATTTTCAAAGTTATAATAATTTGGAGGGAAGGGGGTCATATTTTCCATTCCAAGGGAGGTTCCCGCATTCCTTGGCAGGCGTCTTTCTTTCAAACCAAGACAACTTCCCAGAAAAAAAAAAAGACTCAGTTGTATGAATCCTACTTAGCTCAGGAACCCCTGCTGTAGTTTTAAAGCTGCTTCATCCTCCAAGAGGAGAAACTATTTTTATCTTTTCTATTGCTTAAAATAAAGCAAATAGCTACACATGCAGACAGAAACACCAGAGGGGGGGACATAAAAGCCTCATGAAATTTATTTTTTCAAAGTAATTTCAAAGCATCCATTTTCAAGTAAATTAATTTTAGTCATAACTAATGTACATTTGACTATATTAATTTATTTTCCAGTTAGGTCTATATTAACTCAATTAATATTTTGAGATATCTTTTATAAACTCTTCTGTTACAACATGGCTAACAATAAAACCCCAGAATCCACATGTGAGTCTGCCATCTTCCTTCAACACATTTCACAAATGAATACTACAACAGGAGGAAATAAGTAACTATAATTTGCTGGTTTAACTTCATTTTTGTTGTAATGAGTGCATTGCCTGAGATTTCATAGCTACAATAAGAAAAAACATAAAAGGTCTTTACTATATGTCACAGACATCCTTTATGGAAAATCCTTTCCTTAGGATTTTTCCTCCTGAGAAGCTGAGAGGCCTCAGGAACAAAATGTAAACAATGGTTATCTGCTGCTGTGGAATGCAACAGGTGGATCTGTGATTGGTCTCATATAGTTGTTTCTAATTAATGGCCAATCACAGTCAGCTGGCTTAGACTCTGGGACAGAAGCTTTTGTTATCATTCTTTCTTTTCTTTCTTTTTCTATTCTTAGCTAGCCTTCTGATGAAACCTTTTCTTCTATTCTTTTAGTATAGTTTTAATGTAATATATATCATAAAATAATAAATCAAGCCTCTGAAACATGGAGTCAGATGCTCATCTCTTCCCTCATCCAAGAACCCCTGTGAACACTGTCACAACTATAGACTTACATAACTGCACACCATCTTTACTCATATTTTCTGAGGAAAGCTCAAAGAAAGGGATGGGAATAAACAAAAGGACAATTTAATATTAAAGCAAGCCCCTTTGACAGTTTTGCAAAGTATATTAAATGCATTCTTAGACTTCTTGCCACTTCTAGCTGACTGATGAGGGGATTCAAGGAAACTGTGAAGTACTCTGTTCTTTTTTAAAACAATGTGTGAAAGATACAGTAATTAGCACAGACTATGAAGTACTAGACTTGAATCAGGGAATAACACTCACTTGAGAGGGTGTACTTGTTAGCTCCATCTTTTCCTGGGATTTTTCTTTTGCTAGTCGTGCAGCGTCTTTGAATTCCTGAAATTTTTCTGCAAACTGAAGGTATAAGTTAAAAAAAAAAAGGAAAAAGAGAAAGAGTAGGTGGTAAGTAATTATACTACATGCAGAACAGAATGCTGTACTTAATATTTCACAAAGTCAGATTCTGTCAGTAGAATTTTTAAATTTTTTATCCTTGTTAGATTTTTATTTAGGATAGCTACTCAGTGACATACCTTTCAGACATAATGTACTCTGTTTATATGACAGGAAATTTATGATGCAACAAAGTTTAATTTGTTGCTGATAGTGTTTAAAAAACCACCTCATATATGGCATACACTCATGATAAGCTGCCTTGAACAGCTACTTTCAGATTCGGGTTTTACCGTTTTCTTGACAACAAATGATCTGGTTCTGAAAGCCACCATGGTCACTATTAGCCTAGAGCCTTCAATGGGCTTCATTTTTTCATCACTGAAACAATACCAATTTCTTCCCAAAGTTTTACAGCATTTATCATTTTGGTAGCTAATTTAGAAAGCAACATTAGGAATATTGAGTCAAGTTCATTTCTTGATTGTTCATAGACATGAATCAAGTTAACAAATTCATTGAAGTAAGCCCTCAAATATATTAAACACTAAATTCAAGAATTTCACATTGAACTGCCATATGAAGCTTGATTTCTCTGCTACATGTACATCTTAGACAAAATAGCTAAAGCGGCAATTTAGAAATACATGTTGTCATGGTTTTGCATGGAAGACGTTTAGGGAAGTGATGCAAAGCTTCCAGCCACTGAAAAGCTGGACGTGCCTCTGTGAAAAACACTTGTTAAAGATGAAAGAAACCCGGGAACTTCTTCTTTTCCCTCCGGTCTGGGAACAGGTAACAAGGCCGGCCCAGCCCGTCTCGGCTGGGCTGGGCCAGGCCGGGCCGGCTCTGCCGCAGGGCCAGGACCCTCTTTGGGGAGCCTGCTGAGCCCTGGCCGGGCCAGGCCCAGCCCCAGCAGTGACCAGGCAGGGAGTGGGGAGGCTGTGAGGGGCCCTGGCTTTTAACATCTTGCCACTAGGATCCCCTCCCCCCAGCGCAGCCACCGCACGAGATCATGCGCCTCAGGCCAGAGGCAGCCCTGCAGCCCACACAGAGTGGCCCTGCGGCTGGAATTGAATGCAACAAAAAACTAAGACCAGCCATGCAGCTGATCCTGACACTGCCTCAGCTGCAGTTCCCTCCGAAAGCACCAAAAGCACTGCACCGAGAGACCATCTGCAGGCCCTGGGTGAGATGTTAACACTTTCAGCGCTTCAATCCTCCCTCGAGTGAAAGGAACAAGATGCAAGCATGTAAAGGAGCAACATGAAGACATCAAGGTCAGTGAAGAAGTCAAGTCCCTGATGGAAGGGAGGAGGAGATGCCTTAATCTTGGGACTGAAAATCCTCTTGTAATAGCTATGGAGAGAGACTCTTTTTCCCTGTAACACATGAAAGCCATAGGGAGATGAAGGGTTCAATTTGATATCAAGCAAAGGCCTCTATGCCAAAGTAAGCAGATGTTAAAGTAGCTGTGATCCTATGAGAAGCTTGAACAGAGAAGGAGAGAAGAGTGGTCCTGTGCCCCCAGGAAGAGAAGGGCCTCTGTTCCCAGGGATGAAGATGATTTTAGAGATAGATAATGAGAACCTTAGCCTTTGAACAGCTCATCTTTAAAACAGTACCCCATAAGTTGACATGGCCCATAAACACAGCTGTGGGAAAAGCTTGTGGAAAATGGGAGGAACTTCACGATTGCAGATTTCCACAGGTGGCTGCTATTCATGAGAGAGCCACGAGAGAACTGTTTTTTTCCTCGTGGACAAGGCTCCATAACCTTAACGAGAGGGACTTCTCTCCCTAAGTAAACTGAAGAAAAACTATTTTAGAGGTGGTAAACTGACTGAAATTTTAGGTTTTGCTTCTTTACATTGTCAGTGGGAAAGAAAAGGTTGTGGGGGGAGGAAGAGTATTCTGAAGGTTTTGTTCTGATTCTTATTACTCTTTCTTTAGTTACTGTTAATAATTTTTTATACCCTTTCAAAGTTTTGAGCATGCTTTGCCTTTCTCCCAATCCTATCTCTCAGCAGGAAGCAAGTGCATTGGCCAGGAAATCTCAAAATTGGCGAAATCTCAAATTGGCGAACCAAAACCACTATAAATGTACTCTTAAAATTGATAAATTAAATCAATTTATTAAGGATAGGGCCTGGGTTCTCTGGCTAGAGAAAAATTTGGCTTCATAGATCTCAGTTTCATACTACACTAACTGCTATAGTAACTAAACATTCATTTTGGCTTCTACTGCTTTTATATATACCTTGATCTTATTATGATCAGCTCAAGACTGAAATTATCCTGTAAAAACATTGGAAACTTCACCAACACCTTCTAAATCTCTCCAGCAGCAGCATACAAAGAAATTAGTTTGCACTGCATGTATTCAAAACGGATGAAGGCTACCTTTGTGTGACTCAATCTCCTCAACTATTTTCAATCAGAAATTCACTTGCTATTCAAGATCTAAAAAACATTATTGTCTTTAAACTACTTCTCCTGGTAGGCTACTAGTTTTTGAGGAAGTATCATTTCTAACCACTGGTATCCTATATTTCATCTGTAAGGTTATTTAAAAGCATGTTTCCTAAATATAGGAGACAAAATATACCATCCAGAAACTCTAATTAAGTTATCAAGAAAAGTCTCAAAACAGATAATAAAATTGGCCACAGATGACCAGAACTGGATGATACTGAGGCAGAGTGGAAATTTTCCAGGGTAGAAATCCATTTTGATTTAGGTGAAACGTACATCTTTGAGTTAAGTCTGTAGCTTGCTGTTTAGTCTGACTGCCTGTTCTCGCGAAAAGCCTGTGCTTGGAAGGACTGCTTCAGCCAAAGGACAAGAGATAAGGGGGGAGGAGGGGGGCAGACAGAGCAGGGCAACCTGACCCAGGAGTTCTTTCTGAAGAATTAGTGGCAAGTGTCACACAAAATCAGTGGAATGAATGTGTTTGAACCTATTGTAAAATTGCATGCATATGTATTTGAGAGGGAGATAAAAGAAGATCTGGAGTTCCCAGAGGTACACATGTCATTTTAGGGGAACGATTCCCACATGCGTCCAGCGCTGTAATAAACATACCAGCTTTACAACTTTCACACAAGTTGTGGAGTTTTGTTTATCTCTGCAAAACATTATGACGAGCTAGGCAGATCATCTCTGTCCCCGCAGGGGCAAAAGGGATAGACGGGCCTTCGAGGTGTGCCCCGGGATTTTCCCGTAGGAGCTTCGCTCGTCTCGGCTTGCCTTCTGTAGAGACAGACAAGGACCTGCTGGTGTGCGGAGGATACGGTATGTATTGAGGGGCCCCCGGGGGAAAAGAGAGATAGGACGGCTGAATAAGTCACTCAGAGACGTCTGAGTGCTCGGCCTCGTTCCCGTGCCTGCAGGCAGACCGGTTGATAGAGCGACTGGGAGACGGGGGTTCACTGTTCATTAGAGCGACCGCTAGCGACCCTGGGGGTGGGTCGACTGAACCTGTGTGTGTTTTTGGTGTCCAGACATTGTAGGGTTAATGCATAGTGTGGTTAATGTTAATGTGTTTGTAATCGTGCGGGGGGGGGGGGGGGGAGTTCTACCCGCATCTGAAGCAGCCAGGTGAAGCTTGAGGCACCGGCTGGGGCAGGCTGTGGGGGCAGGGAGTGCCCCGCGGAGAAGTGGAACAAGTGGCGAAACGTCGGGTGAGGCTACTTATTGTGTTTAAAGGTGGTGATTTGTGTAGATTTGGCACATTTTGACCGTGAGGATGAGCTCAGGGAGTTCCTCTGCCCTGGTAGTTTGGACTTGCTCTCTGGAATTTTACTGTGTGCTGTTATTTTGATTGTGTCCAGAGTGTGTGAGGACCAGAGAAAGCTGATGTGGGTAAATGCTGAAGTATTGTATGCTGTGTTGTGTTGAGAAAAGTGGGCACTTTGAGAGATATGCCTTTTCCTGGTGAGTTTGTGTGGTTCTTCCCCCGCATTGTGGTAATTGTATTCTTGGGATTGTATAGTGGTGTTTGTGGAGATTTTAGGATTTTGTTTGCAACAAGTGTAGCATTTTACACAGAAGAACTACGGTATGGTGATTTATGTTTAACTGTGGTAAAGCGAATTAAATGAATTCCAGTAATTCCCCCTCCCCCACCCCCAGCAATTCAAGCCCTGACTCTCGTGAATTTGAGATAAGACGGGTGTGTGTGTGTGTGTGTGTCTGTGTTTGTGGGCATATCAGTTTTTGCTGTAACAGGCACAGCCTTTTGCAAGGCAGTAAAGTGAGTGTCAGTAGAAACAATGCTTTAATTAGATTGTGCAGGAAGAAAACTGGAAAAAACTGAGATTTTGTTAAACAGAGTTTAGATAGAAGAGACGAATGAGTTTATGGGACTTCAGCTGGTAATATAGTAAGTCTGGACTGAAAACAACTTGCCATAGAGTTTAAGTGATAAACACCAAAGTGATAAACGAAATAGCCTGCAGGCAATTCCCGGGAGTTTTTGGTGTATTGAGAGGCTGGCACCTTATGTGCAATGCAGAGTTTGTGAGAGGCACTGGTATTGCTGTTCTGTGCCTTAAAGTGTAAATTGAAAGTTCCTGATCAAGCCAATTCAGAACCTGCTATCTTGAAGCTTATGTGTGGAGGATCACATCTGATACCTGCCATCTGGAGGTCTATGTGTGAGGAAAAACTGAGAAAAGACACTGTGAGGCTTGGGTGGAAACAAGATAGTATAAGGAAAAAGAGATAATGAGAACTAACCAGACTAAAGAGGTTCCTGAACTAGCCCCTTTGGGAGGGGCTCACTGGGAGAAAGCTGCCAGTAGGGGTGGCTCAGAAAATAAAAAGATTTATAATACCTTATTGCAGTTAATGCTGTTTTAAAATGGGAAGGTAAATGGGATAAGGTCCCGTATGCTGATGTGTTTTTTTGCTTTGAGAAATCACCCAGAATGGCAGAGTAACTGTGGGTTCAGAGCTCC